TCTCCTGCCAGACTTTGGCAAAGTGGTTACATATCCAGATAACATGTTCTTACATACAGTTGCTTAAATTAATAATCTTGCGCACGCTTGATGAGAGCACAAACTCTTTATGTTAATGGGTGCCCAGCTAAAATGTTCTCAGGCACAACCAGCTGGTGGCTGCGTTCAAGTTTCCACTCTTATCATCCCTGAAGCATTTTCTGTGTCTAACGAAGACGCCAGTGAAAAGAGGCTACTGCAGCTTCACTGAGCGAACTTGTTCACCCCATCAAGTTATTTTGGGATCAGTAGCAGGTGGATATTCTGGTTCCATTGATGGAGACTTTGTGAGAGCGCTATTTGATGTATGACTTTGACGCCATCTCCTTCTTATTCTGTGTGTTGGTTGACAGGTTGGGCGGTGGACCGGATGACGCTAAGGAGATCATGCGGCACAGTTTCTTTGGCACAATCGACTGGCAGGACGTCTACGACAAGAAGGTGAGAGCAGGATTTAGCTGCTAGACGTCATCGTCACTTCAATCGAAATCGATTCAAACAGTGTTTCTGAGGTATTCTGGTATCAGGGTTACCGTATTTTTCAAAAGAAGTCTGGCTGACATGTAAAATCCAAAATGGAATGCAAAGGACAAAACATTACCTCATCTTTATTTCATTTGAACACTATAACACAGTCAGACAAGTACCACCAGGTCGTTTTATACATATTTGTATGTTGTTTTTTCCTCAACTTGAGCTTTCATAATAACGTGTCCACCCAGGCCTCCCATGTGCGTATTGGAGACACAGACAACAATATGGTGTGAAGTTTTAAACTGATTTTGTTCCCCAGTTCTTCTGTGTTCACATTTGGACCAGGAAACTGTATTCCCCTGAAATTTGCCTTTTTTGTACGTCTAATGAAGAAACATAACACACTCTGTAGTCTGGTGATAATTTCTTTGTATTAGTGTATGTTAGACTATCTAAAAGTTTAGAACTCACCAAAATAATTTTAATAAAGTAAAAAGAAAAAAAGGCTCTAAATGTTTGATTTGAGTTCTGTTTAAGGTGAACAAAAATATCTAACCCTAACTGTAAAAAATGCAGGACCTAATTAGTGAAGGTGAATTTTAAGCCTAATCTTAAAAGTACAGAGGGTGTCTGTAGGGTAAAATGCTCTATTAAAATCTGTGTTATATTAGCACGACTGATAAAAGTCATTTGACCAAAAAAGTGTTCCTTCAGTTGAAACGACAGCATATGTGAAGCTGTTTGAAGACTGAACCCCTCAGTGATACAACACCACCGCTCTCTGCTTTCTGTCCGTCCCAGTTGGTACCACCCTTCCAGCCTCAGGTCACCTCTGAGACAGACACGCGCTACTTCGATGAAGAGTTCACAGCACAGACCATCACCATCACTCCACCGGAAAAATGTAAGTGCACATTCACTGTAATTTATTGCATTGTATTAACTGACTGAGATGACACTGCCAGCAGCTAGTGTGAGTTTAGCGTGTTTGCATGGCACTGGCTCTAAACACCAACTGCAAATGAAAACAGTATTAGTATTGGACACACTGAATATCTGAGGAGTCGGGATAACTGCCGTTAAAGTTTGTAAGGACAACCTTACTGTCCATAAGTGGAACATTCTTATGTTTTCCTGTTTGTGTTTTTACAGACGATGAGGACGGGATGGATGCAGCAGACAACGAGCGAAGGCCTCATTTCCCACAGTTCTCCTACTCGGCCAGTGGCCGAGAGTGAGCTCCAGCCCAGCCAGGCAGTATCGTCCCCATTTGTGGCCATTTTGAGGAAAACGCGTAGCCATTTTAGGAAAAAAAAACAAAAACAAAAAAACACCAGTCTCCCCTCTTTTTCTTCTTCTCTGCCTCCTTGCAGAGGGGGAGAAGTCTTTTTAGGGACTTTAAAAAAGGTTTTTGCACAGTGGGATAGACTCCAGCCGGTCTCCCCACACTAAAAAAGAAGTCTCCTACATTTTCAGCGCTATTTACTGCAGAAGGCAATGTTTTTGTTATTTCTTTTTTCTTTCTGTCAGTATTAAGTTGTCGACCCAGGTTGCGTTAATATTTTTGTTTGTTGTTTCTGCCCATTTTTTGTTCTTCTTTTAACTTTTTTGCACTTGGTTTGGAAGAGCCGTTTTAGGGAACAAAAAACCAAAAATGTTGCCTTATGTGTGCAGATGTTTTGCATCATACCTACAGGGTGGTGTTTTTGTTGTTTTTGGGGATTGGGATTTTTCATCAGGGGGAGAGGGTGGGTGGGTTCTGGGATGTGAAAGGTCATAAATAGTTGAGAAGAAGTGCATGGCTCATGGTTCACTCATTAAAAACAACAACAACAAAAAAAACTCTTCCTCGTACATTTGCCATGGCAGCGCACATTTCCCAAATCCATGGTGATGAAAATCACAGTGAGCCTACAGATTACAAAAAACAAACAAACAGAAAAGAGAAGCTGGAAGATGAGAATGGGTGAATCGATATCATTCCTTTCATTCGTCGCAGTAACTTCCCTCTTATTTAATTTTATTTTTGCGCTTTTTTGAAGTTACTTTGAAACAAGAAACACTAAACTGCCAGAAACTGCACAGTTCACTCAGGCGCCACAGAGCACAACCGCATTCAAACTCAGCTTAACCGCTCCAGCTTTCCACAGCCGGCAGGGGAACGAGGCCTTTCTCTGCAGCATCGCCGCTTCTTCTCCTCTTCATCATCCACCTCTCCTCTTTTTTTTCTTCTTCTTCATTGTAGCTGTAGGACTAGAATGGAATGGATGTTTACACAGGGAAACATGGCTTCATGTATGTATGTACAGTTTGCGATTGAATGGGGGTCAAGAATATGCTGTCATAGCACACAGAAACACACACACACTTACTCTCAGATGTAGTAAACCGCAGTGTTGTCTATAATGATCATAGTGAAGTCGGCAGTTTACTCCAAACTGAGATTTGATGGTCTTTTCTTCTGTTTTTGCAAAACATGGGGACACGAGAATGCTCCACAACTTGCAGAAGCCTCAGGTCACGTCTACATGCCAAGCAGTTTGCTTGCTGCACGTTGCTTTGTAGTTGGTTCTGATGCCTGTTCCTGCTTCTGGTTGCTTATTTAACCCTCTATTGCTACAGTCACACTAGTGAAAACAGTGGTTGGAGTCCAAAGCATGAACAGAATCACTGCAACTGTGTCACCTGCCATCTTCAAAGCACTTTTGGTGCATCAAGACTTTGACAATAAGATTGGAGTCAAGCAGTCTGTCTGCTGTATCCGCTCAGTTTGCAATTTAATGGGGTCAGATTTGTACTTGGATACAATGTTTTTGCACAAATTAACTGTGTTAAACAGATTTGTTCAGTTGCCTTGGGATGGCAATTTTACTTTAAAAATGACATCAGCAGCTTTGTGCATGTACAAGAACACAACCAGTTGCCAACCAGCTGAGACAAGTGTCTTGTTGCACAGAGACAGAAGAGTGGCTCTCTTTGGCACAGGCTGACTCAGAAAGCAACATGTTGTCAGTCTATTTCTAATTATCCAGCGGTTATGTGCAAGCCTTTGAAATCTGAGTGATTTCAGTCACTCTGAGTCAGACCACAGTCGTCTGACAGATTGCCTCCCACCAGGCGACCTTTGGAACTGCCTTGCGATCTAAAGAGGTCACTGCAGTTACTTGCAGTTAGTTACCAAATACAAAAGTATACACTGGACAACCACTTTTCGTTTTTTGTTATTTTCCTTTTTGAATTTCAATTCAATTTTATTTATATAGCTCCAAATCACAACAGTCGCGTCAAGGCGCTTTATAAGGTATGATTCAATGCAGAGAGGTCTATTGACACATAGTGAGTGAGAAAGGTGTCTGCAAAGGAAAAACTCCATGCATCAAGTCACAAGAACGTTTTTGACCGTTCAGACTGAGCTTCATGCAGTTCCGTCCCCATCATGTGTTAGTTACTTTGGTCACTGAACTGATTCCTGCTGGCCTCTGCTTTTATGGAGGCCCCTCCAATAGCCTCCAAATAGTGAGTCCTTAACACAAGTAACCTAGCTGTTATATCCAGAAACCAAGATTGACAATCTTCTGGTATCGCCTGTTCCAATGTGTGTTCTGACATGTAGCTGAAAAAGTGTTTTGTTCATTGGAAACCGTAAGACGTGTGGATATTTTATTGTTTCTTAGCTCAGCTGCTGTTGAAAGTGATCAGAAAGCTGCCAAACTCATTCAGACAGTAAGTTTGGCAAAAAATGATATGGATGAGAAGATAGTCCTTCTCTGATGTGCTGTGCAGCTACAACTAAAGGCAGTAGTTGGGCAACTACAGCTTAAAGTGATGAATTTATTACAGCATTGGATAGTCCGAGTATGGCCTGGTACCCTACAGGTGGATGTTGCGATGGTTACGAGTAGCAGCAGTACTGACTTGCCAGAGTCAGTGTGGGGACTTTGGCGGCTTAAACCCACCAGCAGACGGTGTGTTTGGAGTGTAGTGAAAGTGAGGGGGCCGTGTTGGTGTTACTGACACTGCAGCTGGAGTTTGCTCGTCTGGACTAGCTTGCAGGCTTGGCTCCCACACTGGCAGTATTAGCATATGTTTAGTGAGTTCTGCCCAGAAGTGGCCTGACTGAGGCATCACACTTCCTACAAGAAGTGGAACTGACTGTGGAGAATTGGGGAAAGCGATCCAATCATCCCAAATACTGTCCGCTAAACTGTCCTTGTGAAGCAGCCTTTTCACCTGTGAGCACACATCAGATCTGATTTGCTGGAGAATTCTGCCGACTTGAAAGTATTTTGTACATTTACAGATGTTTGGAAAGATTAAGAAGAAGAACTGAGGATGGGTACGTCTTTGTGTGTTAAAGTAACGACGCAGGTAGAGACATATCGAGTAGTGAGTAAAAAGTGAAGGGAAAGGGTTTTGCAGCTGTGCAGGAACCTAAAAAGAAGATTGCTGTAAAGATTTTTTTTTTAAAGAAAAAAAAAGAGAAACATTGTTTTCAGTTTAAGAGGAGAAATATTGACTCACAAACACAGATACAAAGACTGTTTTTACATGACAAATCTTAGTGAAGAAAATGTAATTTATCACACAGATGCTAAGCAGAAGTGAGGCTTCCAGCTCCAGACGCAGGGGTCCTGACCCAATTAATCTTGTCAGTATTATGAGAGAAATGTATTTACACACAGACAAATATTTAAATTGAAGTAAGAGTATCAATAATTTACTGATCATGTCAGATCACAAGAAAACTGAGCCGTGAGACACTCGTGTATGAAGACTGTGAGGACTGCGAGAAAAAAGTGGCCCCAAACTTCTTGGTGTAAATATGCAATGCCTTTTTTGTTCTTTTTGTCTTCACTTATGAGGCATAAACATTTGTTTTCTGTGTGACTGTATGTTAAGCTTGCTGATGAGAATAGTGACCGAAAAATCCAAACCACCCGCAAACGATTCAAAAACTGCTTTGAAGAAAAGAACATTTAAAAGGAAAAAATAAACACGTGTCAATGAATGGACCCTTCCACTGTTTTTTGTTTGGGTTTTGTTTGTTTTTTCAGTTTTGCGTTTGTTTGGTTTTTTTGTGATTCATGAGGATGTTTCCATGGAGACGAACCCCAACCCGCCTTTCTTATGTCACCATGGTCCCTGAAAACGATCGACTCCAGAAATGTGAGGACATCTGTAACATGGAGTCTGCACTGTACTTCTGTTCCCTTCACCTTCTTAAAAAACTATGAGAGGAGCCTTGGAGGACTGTCGTTTGTTTGTTTGTTTGTTTGTTTGTTTGTTTGTTTGTTTGTTTGTTTTATTTCCTGTGTGTGTGCGTGTGTGCGGTGCTGGTTTCATCAGGTTTCTTCAGTCCCAGTTCCTTCTCCTTCCCTCCTTTTTATACCATAGTGTTTGTTTTATTAATGTTTGTCATTCTAGACAGTGTTACCTTGTATGTTGTTAAAAAGGCACCTCTTGAAAGTCGCTGAAGAATGATGGATGCATAACTGATTTTTTTTTCTTTTTTCGATCATTTGCTTGTTTGTTTTCTTACCAAAACATTAGGGCAAGAACCCAGTAGTGGACTTGCATTGCCGTGGTAGTATTTATTTTGAATTAAATTAAAAGAAATACATTTCAGGGTTTCTGCTGTTGTGACTCTTTATTTCAGGTGATTTCAGACCTTTTTCTTTATTGTTTAGATGAGATCTTGCCTTTTATGAAGAAAGAGATCTGAGAAAACTAATAAGTTCAACTTTTTTTACAGATACACTTGGATTGGATTAATATAGCAAAAAAATATTTTGGTTCTTTAACATGGAAGACAAAATGGTTTTTAAAAAAGCCAAATATTACATTTCTAATATCAAAGTATCTGCTGTACAGAAACGTAATAATAAATCTCATAAATTGAAACTGCCCAGGAGCTTCTTGATGTAAAACAAAGTAACTGTTTGTTTTTTTGCAAAAACACCACTTGCAGTAAAGATTAGTAGATAATCTGTGGCTTCAGGTTTTTTGTCTGTGAATTACTTAAAAGAGCTAAAATATGCTGCCCCAGAAATGATGGACTCACTAAAATGAACTACGGACTCTTGATGAGTGGAATATTCTAGCTGAAAGTCTCGACTGACACATTCTGGGTCATTTGCTGAGACCAAATCTACTTAACAGTCACTGGAAACCAAAATCATCAAGTCTTTAAAATCAAAGTCAGTTTTTCATGTGCACCTTAACCTTCCTGGCGGAGTTAATAATAGAATAGAATAGAATTCAACTTTATTGTCATTGCACATGTCACAGGTACAGGGCAACGAAATGCAGTTTGCATCCATCCAGAAGTG